CTTTCTCTGGGGCAAGACAAGACCACTCTCTCTCTAGTACTTTCTCTGGGGCAAGACAAGACGTTGCTTATTGAAGTAAAGAAGCCTTTCAATTCTCTGATTTTGGATGATGTTGCTTATCCCTTTGGATTCCGTTGCTTGTTGAACGAACAGAACTTCACTCACATTGGCTATAGGGCGAACATAACTCTTGCTAACGCTGGTGGCTTATTCTCTCTGTTGGAAGCAAAGCTGTTTGTTTACTTAATTCTATGTTCGTTTTAGTTCCATTCCTGTTTTATTACTTAATTCTTGATAGCCTCTCTCTGTTTGATTACAGTTACTGACTCATTCTTGACTTAGCGCTTGCTGCTGACAATTGAACTCATTTACTTTAAAAGAATAGACTACACTAGGACTAAATCTATACTTCGCACCCTTAAGATACTGTGTCTTTACTCCATTCTTTTCTCTTCTTAAAGCAAGGTGCTGAAAGCCTCTATTCAATAAGCCGTTAGCGCAACAGGGCTCGGCTCGTATTGCAGGAAAATCTTTTCGTTATGAAGCATAAGATCGGATTGTTTAGTCTCTCGATCAAGCATTAACCGCTCCGTGTAGAGATGAGCATGAGAAAATAGATTCTCTTATAGATGTAGATTCAACTCTCCAGTCATATCTTTCTGGAATTTCTTATTATTCTTCCTCGAACTCCCTATCAACGAAAACAGGAACTGCTCCTTACTAAAAACTCCAATAAGCGTTAAGCATCCCCCCAATAAGCTCGCTCACTTAGATTTGGAGTCTGCCTGTTTCACTAAGATTATGTGGAATCGTATAGGTTCTGTTCTTAAAGTAGAGTTATTGTTTCATCCCAAATTGAATCGTGTGGATCTTCAAGTATAGTTATTGTGCGAAAGGAAGTTTCCATTCAAGTAGTTGGGCAATAATCTAGGTAAAGCCAAGAAGCTTCTCTCTCCACTTAGTACTAGCACCTGAACTCATTAACTTTGAGCTCCTGCGGGACAAGCTGCTTAAGCGAACTCCACTATACTTGCTGCTTCCCTTTGAACTGAAACCTTAACCTTACTTCAAGTTCTTCTTATAACCCTGTTGTTCTATACTCCACTTTAACTGAACGATTGGCGAACTCAACAAAAGCAAATCATCTATCTTGCAACCAGAAACAAGCAAATCATCTATCTCTGCAACCCATATATATGCGGAAAACCTCACTGCTTACAGAAACTATGAAAACTAACCAATTTCTTTAGACTCCAATAAGTGTTAGAGCACCAACTAGAAGAGAATTGAGGTGCGCATATAGAGAAGCAAGTAACAACACCTAGCCTAGAAACGAATAATCACCGAGACTCATGCACTCAGGCGTTTCGCATACGTAAGCACGACGGCTGCTACTACTTATTGCCTTGCCTAAAGCTAGTTCCGTTGGTTGTTTGTTCCTAATACATTGATTATTCCCGTTTACCCTTACTTACTCTAGCTCGGCTCTTTACTGAACTTCCCTTAACCTTTCCTTTCGCAACCTAATAATAATGCGACCGGTCAAGTAAGCTAACAACGCAAACATTAGCACAAGGGTTTATGGTAACTTAACTCTACCACTTGCTTGTTGGAACCAGTAGAATATGTCAGCAGCTACGGTTGGGTTCCGCTATTCACTTACAATGCTATGTCTTATGGGTTTTGCCCTATATTCTTTTCCTTACTTTTTGGAGAGTAGGGCAGTCTTGTTACCACATGAAATCCGTCTTCTTTCTGGATGATTTCCCGCTAACTTGAGACTTTGCGTAGCTTCCATCGTAGACAACACTTGAAACCTTACTCGCACCTAGGACTTAACAAGCACTGCTAAAGCGCTCCGTGGGCATTCTCTTCGAGCTATATGAATCTTCTTCTTCTTTCTGTAAAGGATGAAACTAGAACAGAACCAGAACCACTCGCAGACGCCGACTTAACGGCCTCTTCTCTCTCGCTCGTCGACTTTCCTTCTTCTTTCCTTTATATTGGGGTGTTTCAGAAGGTCAAATAATGCATTGCCACGGATCTTAGCTGATTGGAGAAATGAAAGCACAGAAATAGTAATGTCGTACGGTCTTATTGTAGTGGAAAGATCTATTGAAATAGAATATATTCCTAGAAACCCATTCAATGGCAATCCGGGAAGCGGACGAAGAGCTAAAGATAGCAAGCCCGTCCCCGGAGTAGATGTTTTGAAGATGCTTGGCTTCCATTGCTGATACTGGTTATCCTTGCATTGCATCACACCTACGTACTTTATCATCTGGCGGGACAGCTACTTAATGAAGGCTACGGTTCCCAAAAAGAAGCAAAGAAAGACTACATGTATAGACTAGAATCAAATAGAGAATCCTAGCAGCCAAAAGAGCTCAGCAAATTGATCCCCATCTTCACCTCAGGACCCGTCAGGTCCAGCTAGAGGAGTGGGCTAGGCAACATTCCCTTTTTGAGAGCGCAGCCTATTTCCGAAATTCTTTCCACTGTTGGTTACTATAACCAGTAATGACTGTTGGTTACTATATATTATATATTGAATAAGAAATCTAAATAACTCTTCGATATGTGATTTTCTTGTTATTTGAATCTATATATATTGTTGCTTAATTATCTTATTGACTGAACAAGTGAGTGTTACTTAATTATCTTATTGACTGAACAAGTGAGTGTTACTTAATTATCTTATTGACTGAACAAGTGAGTAACCTTGGGACTGACTCAAAGATGGATAGCATTTATGCGAATGCGCCGCTCTTCTTTCCTGATCTCAGGTACTTTGTCGATCTTTAGATCATGCATTCTCGCGAATCAAAGAACTACTAAAGGAAGATCTAGGGGGTCCTGGCCCAGTGATTTATATATGCTTCTCCCGCCGAAGCGGAAATGGAAGGGCTCGATTTCAATCGAAGTGAAAGAAACCATGTAAGTCATAGTTGCTTCTTGCTACTCTCTATCCGTATATCTAGTCTCTCATGAATCAGAGCATTTCATTCTAGGTCATTGTCTCTCGCGTGGAGGAAGAGCGGTAGCCAGATTCCTTTCTATAGCTATCCAGCAATTCCAGATGGGCACCTTACATAGTTTGGCTTATTAACTTCCGGGCCTTACCAATAGGCACCTCAATATACTTACTCAATTAGTTCTTGTAAACTACTTCCCTTTACCTATCTTTCTTTCTTTCTTCTTTACAACTACTTCCCTTTACCTATCTTTCTTTCTTTCTTCTTTACAACTACTTCCCTTTACCTATAATTGAGTCAGAAGCGGGGTAGAGGAATTGGTCTACTCTAAAGGCTCATGACCTGAAGACGGAATTAGTATAGTCGCCTGCCTGTCCCCGCCTAATCACGTCAGATACTTGATATAGTCCTGCTCGTGACGGAGCTCCATCAAGTTTGCTTCATGCGGTCGGGTGCCTCACTTGATGGCGGGATGCTTACTTTCTAGACTAGGCTGGAGTAATAAGGAGGATAGCTTTTAGTTTCTAACTTCAACGTTAGTAGGGGAACCTCCTATTCTGTCTTGATGACCTGCCGAAGTGCCGTCGTAACCAGTGGTTGATCTCACCAATCAGCTACCTGGTGGTCTGGTTAATTACCCAAATTCAGAGATCGGCCTTCTGTTCTTTGATTAGTTAGAGTGTTATGACATCAGAGCGAGTGAGTCTGACAACAGGTAAGCTTTTTAGTGCGCGATCAACAGCTCTCTCTTAAGCTTACTTTCTCACAACTATAGTGCCCCTACAAATCTCTATAGGGACCACCTTAGTTTACTGAAGCTATGTCAGTGGATAGGGACCACCTTAGTTTACTGAAGCTATGTCAGTTTCATTGGCCTGTGGTTACTAGATGCTGGGAATAACTAAATAAATAATAGGCAATGAGCACTAAATGTCAATAACAGAATTTGCTCATTATTCGTTATTTCCGGGTCTTTTCGTTGCATTCACTTACAACAAGAAACAACCACCAGCGTTTGGTGCAGCACTTTCCTTTTTTTGCATTCTGATTCCTTTCCTTGGTCTTTCGTTCTGTCATATTCCTAATAACTTATCCAATTACAATGTCTTAACCGCTAATGCACCTTTCTTTTATCAAATCTCAGGGACATGGTCTAATCATGAGGGTAGTATTTTATCATGGTGTTGGATCCCAAGTTTTTATGGATTCCTTCTTAGTTACCGGGCCAAAAGCCATAATGTCTCAAAACTCAGAGGCAATAGATACACCTTTCTTTTCTCCTTTGTCTCGAACTTTTTGAATAACTCCATTCTATCTCTCCAACTCAAAAGTAGGGCAGCAGCGCCCCAGTTGTACACTCCCTTCGTTCAACGGGATTCTTCACTTAGTTCGCGAAGGAACCGGACGGAAGCCATAATCAACGTAGACCCAGGGCTTTTAAATGCGCCGTACTACCCGCAAATGAGCTTTGCAGTTCTGGACGCTGGGCGCTCCCTTGGTTTGCGAGAAGTCAGAAGGATCAATCTTTTGTTGCATCTGGCACGAGAAGCCAAAGATAGAGCTGAGTCCCTCGATGAACAGCGGATTTCCGGAGCTCTTGGCATTGCTTTGTTTTTCTCTCCTTTCCTATCAGCGAGTTCCGATCCTTTTGTTCGAAATGTCTTCGTTTGTACCGAACCGCTTGCAGAATCAAATCCTGTTTCACAAGATCCTATATCAGCTATACATCCTCCTTTTATATATGCCGGAGACGTCGCCAGTGCTATAGGCTTTAGCTTATGTAGATCCAAAATGCGGAATGGGATTGTTGCACTCCACTCGCCGCCAATGCTTAAGGATGCCGCCGAAAAGAATGGAACGCTGCTTCGCTCTGCAGGATGCGTCGGATCCCATATAATCAGCTCGCTCTTAACCCGGTCATTCCAACATTTTGTGGGCGGTGCACCTGCTCCATTGTTGCGTAGAAATAGAAGCCTGCTCATGCAGCTTCGGTTCGGCTTCTCTTCGCTCTGGACAGGAGCGCTAATGGACACGGGGAGGGAGCTGGCGAAGCGTGTCGTTCATAATGGAATAAATCAAGATACTACTACTAGTTTCACCGCCGGCGCAAACACAGTGGTCTCTGACCAGGACCAGGAACCAATTCACATTTGGATCTTGACATGTCGGTTGTTTTTAACCGTAGGCATCTCGCCAGGAAGTTGGTGGGCTCATCATGAATTAGGTCGGGGTGGCTGGTGGTTTCGGGATCCCGTAGAAAATGCGTCTTTTATGCCTCGGGTATTAGCCACAGCTTGTATTCATTCAGTAATTCTTCCGCGTCTTCATTCTTTTACCTCGCTTTTGAATATTTTGACTCTTCCATGCTGTGTCTTAGGAACCTCTTCAATACGGTCCGGATTGCTAGCTCCCGTTCATAGTTCTGCTACAGACGATACACGAGGAATATTTTTATGGCGGTTCTTCCTTTTTATTACTGGCATATCTATGATTCTTTTTTACCAGATGAAGCAGCAGGCATCGGTCCATATAACCCATAAAAAAGAGATGGTTGTGGCGCGAAGTACTCTTGTGCACCTACTACACTCGGCTCCCGCCCCCTTATGGTATGGAATCATTTCGCCAGCTAACCACAGCATCAAAGAAAAACACTTGGTTTTGAAGCGCCACCAATGACGGATTTCGTACCGTCCATAGCGCTTCGGAAGTCACTCTTAGGCGTAGAGCAGTCCACAACGGAAGCCTAGCCTTTGAGCTCCAATCTTATTTAGAACTTCGGAAGATGGTCAAGGTAGCTTGCTCTGCACTAGATGCGCATGTAGTCTATAGGAGCAGTCTTGTCGGGAGCAAAGTAGCAACGCCAAGAAGGTTGCAAACGCTAGCAAGTAGTCCAGTAGCAAGAAAGCTAGCAGCAGCTTGGTCTTAAAGAAAGCTAGCAGCAGCTCTTGGTCTTACTGGCTTTGAAGCAAAAGAAGGATCTGCTGAAGCAAAAGAAAGAAAAGTAGATCTCGGTTAATATAGATCGAGTTATTGCCAAGTCCTGTCTTCGTAGATGCTTTCGGCGGTAGCGAGTTCAAAAAGGGGCAGCTAGAGTTCCCATTATTACAATAGATGTTTTCAGCGGTCCAATCAGTCAATATCTCGAGCAAGAAGCAAGCAGCACAGAAAGCAGAGTAGTCCATCAGTCTATGAGGTTTTCCAACAGCAACAAGAACATAGGCAGGAGAGATTCCAGTTCTTGTCAAAGGATCATTTCTTACCTAGTAGCGACCAATTGCAAGAGGGCTATGTTTTCACCCACAGAGCAACAGTCAAGCATTCAATCATTCTGCTAAGAGTGGAGTATGGCCACTACAATTGAGTTCTGGTGATTCAGATGGCATTACTCTTCACTAAAGACTTGCTCGTGGCATTAAACTAAACACCTTCCTTCGCTTAGACCTTTTCGTTTCATATTTATACGCTTAACTCCCTTTTGTGCTGTTAACCTTATTCTTATTACACATTAGATAGGTAGGTAGGTAGACGACACCAGTATCTTTTTTCGCGTCTGCTTTCTCCGTCAGTTGGCATTGAGTGCTAGACCACCTTTTCCGTTTACCCTTACTCTGAGTGGTTAGAGGATTAGCTGCAACCCTATTATCTTCTACTGAGTGGTTAGAGGATAAGGAGCCAACCTATTCTCTTCTATGAATTACTACCTCTATATCAATAAAGGAAAACTCCAAATGACAATCTATTCTATTGTCATTCACAAATTACTGAGTACGAAGGCACATCTAGGCCGTCGGGTAGCTGCTCACCATTTCAACAAAGTCTATATATGTGGTTCTAGAAATGGAATTGCTATTCTCGATTCAGACAAGACACTGATTTGTTTACGAAATGCTTTGAATTTCATAGGATCTCTCATTCGTCAAAAAGGCCGTTCCTTCCTTTTAAAGACACAGAATAATCATATCTCATATATAATGGAAGAAATGGCGAGCTGTATCAATGATTCTCAATGTCGGATCGGGGCTTTTTTCACCCATTCTTGTTCCAGTCCCACTAAAATACGTTCGAGAAAGAATAAGATCAATTTAGGTTCGAACCAACAACCTGATTGTGTCGTTATTCTGGATCCAGAGAGAAAGTGTTCGGTCATACAGGAAGCTGATCGATCACAAATACCTATAGCATCCTTAGTGTTTTCTACGATCCCTTTGATATCCTATAAAAGAATCACTTATCCCATTCCAGCGAATGATCCTATACAGTTCATATATCTATTTTGTCATTCGATCACGAAAACAGTTATTCTTGAACGGGGAAGAATCGTTGCGATTCCAGAGAATCAATCCAACCGTGTAATAGCTGTGTTATAGAATTTCTGAATAACCTCCGGACAGAGAAAGGATCATGGCGAATCATCTCTTTAGGTCGTAGATACTATACTAAAGACACTTCTCGGATAAAGCGTTACAAAGGCAGGTGCTTGGTCCCTCAAACTAGGTGTTATGCGGCTACAACCATGGCTATTTCCATCCTTTCACTCCACAGACCACTCGGGTTTTTCTTATGGAAGTTGGGAATATTCGCATCCACGTATCTTTACGGACATTGGAAGAGGAATTGGCACGCCTCTCCTAATCGATAGGGCCACTTTTGAAGGTCACTATGGTCACTTTGCGAGAGTCCTCTTAGGTATTAGTTTCTCATCCCCTACCACCATTTATAGAATCGGTCATTCTCTGGGTTTTCCATCTCGCCTACTACAATAGAATATTCCACCCTATTTCTGTACTTTTACAATAGAATATTCCACCCTATTTCTGTACTTTGTCTTCTTCTATCGGGCATACCCCGGCCGAGCACTCAGCGTCAAAAGATCCATTCGACTTGCAAGGGAACCAAACAAGCAAACAAGCAACATCCTAATGACCGCCAAGGCACTGGGCAAGAGAACCAGCTAAGTTTCATCAACCCCGGGCAAGCTAGGGAAGCAGAGGCTGGTTCGGTGCTTTACCAGAGGAGAGTTCGGATAAATGCAATGAACTAGTTGGAATTAGCTAAGAAGCAAGAAGGCTTTCAGCACCTTAAATTACTGTAGGAAGTGCAAAACCGTCTTTCCTTCGTCTAAAGCCAGTGCAATTACGCTAACAAGCGAGATGAAGGAAAGTAGACTGACTGAGACAGACTTAATACAGGTAACCAATGCCATCATTAGTCTAGCTCACCCTGGATTCGGAGCATCTAAGAGCGTTGGTCAAGTAGTTGTTTAGAGAGAAAGATTACGCCCACGAGTGAAAAAGCGACTTTCACACTTCAATTGGAATTAGGCACGAATCAGTCCTTTCCTTTCAAGCAAGAAAGAAAGAAGCACTCGGCTTACTCACCTGGAAAGCACCCTAAGGGAGAGAAGAGATAGTTTGTTTCTAGGTAACGAGTCTAGTATAAGGCTCAAACACATCAATGCTGCCTTATTGACAAATAATACATGACATGGTTTCAAGGGTGCTCAATTACTTAGTTATATCACATGCTGTTCCATTTCCATTTATTAATTATTTGTTGGACAAGGGGTAAGGGAACGGAGTGGAATTCATAGTTTCTAGTTATAAGTTTGAAGCGCGTTAAAAGCTCAACAACCAAAGAATCATCATCTAACTCAGTATAAGAAAGAGGAAAGAGGAATGCCATCTTGATAGGCAATAATGCATTAGAACAGTTGCTTGTTTACTCTTATGATGCATTTTCGCCTAACATCTTTACTCACTAACTAGTTCGAACTCAACAAACAACGACACTAGACTAAGTGCTAACGGGAATTCTTTCGTACCCAAACACAATAAGCATAAGCGTCCCGAACTACAATAAGCTAACAAGCAAGGGCTGCAATAGAAGTAAGCTGCCCGGCGCTGCTATAGTCATTCACTTCTTCCAGTCCCGTCAATTTCTCTTCGTAACTTATGGCTCTCTCCTCCTTAGCATCAAAGTCCCTCCCCTCTGTCTTTCATATCTAGGGTAGAGGTTAGCTTGCGACTGCGGATTTGGAACAGAATCCGAATTCAGTGCAAAAGAAAATAAGATAGCGGCAACTTATAGAAATGGGTAAACAACCAGAAGACTGATAACTGGAATATAGTAAACAACCAGAAGACTGATAACTCCAAAGAATATAGACCCGGGCGCATTCCGCTCCAACCAATAAGTATTAGCAGTGCTTATGTTGTCGTTGAGAGAAGAAGCTTTTAGGTTAAGTAAAGTAAGGTAAGACAGAATCACAGAAATGCAAGACTAAGGCACCCCTGAAACAAGGAAATTGAAGACTAAGGCACTCCTGAAACAAGGAAATGCAAGACAAGACGTTAGCACCCTAAGTGTTAACACAACTCTGAACTGAACTCGCTTGTGGAATTTAGTGCACCTCACAATACAATATATAAAGAAGTCAAAAAACAGCTTACTCTTAAGGCACTGCAAACTCCAAAACTGCTAACGATCCTATGAAACTAAACCATTTGTTTGCTTGCTTGCTCCAAATCACCTAACACTTATTAACCCCTAACTCCCTTAAAAGACAAGGTGATGAAAGCCTTTTGAGCGAAGAGAGTTACCCTTATTGTTGAAAGCGACCCCCAGAATATACCTAATATTGTTGAAAGCGAACCCCACCCATGAATATAGAATTCAGTGACCTATCATCGGCGAACTCCTAAACTCACTCCTTACTTCGGTGAACTCAGCTAGGTATCGCTATCCCTACTTTAATAACAACTTCATTCTTACCCTCACACCAGTGCCATTCTTTGACTAATGAGCGGTAGGCTTACTACTAACTTAAGTAAACTAGCTGCCCTGGGTAATAAGTCCATCCGTTCCTTGCCTCATTGCAAATGTAGAAATAGTACTTTACTGAACTTAGGCTTCCACAAGGTATGAAACTGGCAGCTGGCAACTCACACTTCATTCTGACTTTCCTACTTACTGGTGCTAGCTCCACTCTTTGTTTTAAGAGCTCTACTCCGGCCGGGATGAAACTGATGAAAGCCTGTAACGAATTATAATAAGGGTTTGATTTCTGATCTTAGTAGCTATAGTTCTTGGTAGCTTCGGTAGGCATGTAGCTAGTGAGCTTCATTCTAGTTGTGTTAGTACTATCAGTCCCGTAGTGTCGATCATGAGTTAAGACTGTTACTCTGGTTTAAGTCTTAGTAGCAGTGGTTTAAGAATAAGTGGCACCAGTATCAGGCTGAGCAAGCCGAACACAGGACTTGTTTATATGAGTATCAGTCTGAGCCATATGGGTTTGATTCTTAGCCTACTTAGTTAGATTCTTGACTGCATTCTTCGACTTATGAGTTGACTTCTTATCTTACTACTAGGGCATCACTGCTTCCCTGGCTTACCCAGCCTAGCAACAAAGACAGATGAAACTTTACCACTACAACTACTTAAAGCTTGCACCAAAACTGTTTATTGCTTCCTAACATCTTTACCCTCTTACTCTGGCTCTTTGAACTCCGCTGGCATACCATACTGGTTCCTCACCTTTGCCAACAACTCTAACTCGAAAGAGTAGTTCGGAGTTAACCTAATCAACAGGGCTCCTGCCGCCAATTACTTAAGGTCAAAGGACTTGGTTAGTATAAGCTTGCCTGTAGCAGATACCTCGCATCAAAGCCAGATTCCTCAGTTGATGTTTAAGTCCAATCAGTACAAATTTGATTAATTGTTCAGAGCTACAGCCTTGTCATCAATCAGTAGTTTGGTTCTATATTCTTGTAAAAATGCGAATATATATTGATTCTTATAGTAGTAGTCGAAGCCCTTAGTAGTAGTCGAAGCCCTAATCTGCTAAGCCAGGAGAGAATCCAACTCACTTTGTCACAGTAAGAGACTTTCATCAATAGAAATCCGAATGAACTGATAGTAGCCCACGCCTGACTTTGCTAACTCTAACTTCTATACTAGTTCCGGGCATCCTTACTATCGAACTGACACTCCCGCCTTTCATTCTTTATCCCCTCCCAAAGCTTACTGGCCTTACTTGCATGCTTTCAATGCTTAATCTCGAACCAAACTTACACCCACTAGGGGCGAGAATGAAATCACCGCTAATCGGAATGTTACTAATGACACTGATAGAGCGCCCACCAGAAAGAGTCAAATAAAGAAATAGGAATTCCACCCGGAACTAAGGCCTGAGCTACTAACTATAAGATCGGAACTCATACTTTCTCTACTGCTTCCAAAGCTTTACTAGCATGTGGAAAGAATGAACCGCTGACAACAAGGCTTTAACTACCGACCTCAGATCTGTAGTTCGCCCCTACTTGTTTGAATTCTCAAATGACTTATTAAGTTCTCTTAGAATAATGTTATGCACCAGTAAGTTATCAACAGGGAATACAAGAATCAAACCTGACTTACATAATTGATCCCCTTATTGCCCAACCCTACAACTTTAACTACACTTTCATTTAGAACAGAACCAGACTCGTATATTGCTGCTGACGACTAAACCGCTTCTTATTAGAATTCTTATTACACTCCTGTCTTCTGATCTTGTCGACTTAACAAGCACCGCTAACGCTTTTATGAGTTTCGGGGGCCAAGCAACGAGCACAAGAACTCAACTTACTGCTTCCCTTGCAGACCTCTGTAGGAGAGTCAACTGGTATTAAGAATCGATTTCCGTAATATAAGTAAGGAAACTGTCAGCTGTCCCCTGTGCTTTAGCACTAGTTCTTGCTTGCCCCTTCAAGTAGTGTTCCATAAGTGGTCTGGTCCATTTGAATCAACGAACATAGCTAACCTGCCGGCAAGAATACCTCTGGCTCTTTTCACTCTTGATCTACTTTAATAACTAATTGATGCTGAAGATCTTGATTCCTAGGATTCTATCTCTCTAAGACACCTTGGGCTAAGGGAAACTCTGAAATACCTATTGACTTTATATACTTCAATTGGAACCATCAAGCGCATCCGTCCTTAAGTCTTCTTCTGTTTGACGAGTCTCTAAAGAACAGGTACCTCTTCTCTGGCAACAAAAGCAAAGAAGGAAACTGGCACTGAGGAAACTCGGTATTCCACTCCAACTCCGGAGACAGCTTTAGATCTTGTAACTGTGGATTATTCTGACTTGCATCATTCCTATGCTTAGATGAGGATGCGCTCTAGAGAGATGAAATTACTGTTTGACTTGGCGAACTAAACAAAGCCTCTTTACCTTATTCTTCTGTCCTTTATTCTTCTGTCCTTTATTCTTCCTTCTGTTCTTTATTCTTCCTTCTGTTCTTTATTCTTCTGTCCTTTATATAGTTAAAGGGTATACCCATCCTCACTCCTGACGCCATTGCTTGTTGAATGGAATCTAGCTACCCCTAGTAAAAAAGAAGAACCTAAGCTCTCTGACTCACTGCTTGTTCGCATATTAAATAGGTGCGTACGTAAATCCACTCTCTGCCTCACTGCTTGTTCGCATATGATACAATAGAGTAAATAACCTTCCTGCCTGACTGACTGCTCGTTAAAACCTTACTTCACTTGCAGACACAAGAACGGAGTCTGATCCAGATCTGGCCTCTAATCCAGCTAATGAGTCTGCCCTGACCCTTGACTTTATTTCTACTAGCACAACTCCGGAATTTCCATATCTATCTTATCGAGCACAAAAAAGCAACTACAGGAGTAGCTTGAGTTCAATTCATCAATCCACTACCAGAGGAGAGGCGAGCCTTAGTTAGATGAGATGAGAGCCTCATTCTGTTATTAGTTGTCATAGGGAATAATTCCAGTTTTCCAGGTCAGGTTTGCCAGGGTGCTTAGCCGGGTATTGAGAAGGATTCTTTTTCTTCCCCGTTGCTAGCTCAGTAAGCATCCTAAGTTGAATCAGTTATTGAATAGAAACTTTTCTAAGAAAGAAAGA